GGGCCTCTCATGCAGGAGAGTCGAAGTTTGCAGGAACAAGGAACGCAGTCTTCAGGCATCTCACTGGCCGTTGGGCTCAGAGGGGCCAAGCCTACGTCCACACCTTGGTTCCCAGACTTGTGTATTCTGGCGACTGGAGACACACTTACCGACTCACATTATACCCAGGAGGAAAACGTCTCAAGCCCACAAGCTGTTGTCTCTAAGATGATCTGGAGCTGAGCCTTTGGCAGACAGCGCCATGGTTTGGGAGGTACTCAGACGGCCGGAGAGAGGCTGGCTGACTTCTACAGGACGGGTCCTCCTGTCCAGCTGGATGCTGAGAGCCTCCTCGGCAGTGGATGCTCTCTGGTGCGTGTCAGCAGGAGGCAGAAAAACCCTTTGTGGCCACTCCACGAGCTCACCAATTCCTTGTGCGTCTGACCTCCAGGAGGTCACCCCTGCATTGCCCCAAGAGGCAGTGCCTGTCTGCACCTCGGGCCGGCTCCCCTTCCGCCCTTAAGCGGGGTGTAATGCAACGGTAGTCCGTTCCCAACTAGCACCAGTACATTGCAGACGAGGCCTCGGTCCTTTCATCCTCTGTCAGATAGTCACAGGGACCTCCTCTTTGGGGCTGTAGGTACAGTTGAGGCAGAACTTCCGCAGATCTCAGGATCTAGGCCGCTTGCTGATGTCACTTAACCTGTTCCTCGTGGACTTGCTCGAGCGTGGCCCTAAGCGTGCCACCTCTGTCCCATGTCGGATGGCTGCTGTTCGTGACTGACCTTCTCACTTAGCAGCGTTGCCCAGCCCGTCTTTGAAGGTGCCCCACCCCCCTTCAATCACTGGGCTCTGGGTTGTGAACAAACAGCTAATTTTCCGTTGCAATAGCTCCTGCTATCTTTCTGCTCTTGCACTCTTGATTCTCTTTAAAAAATAACTATGCAAATTGAGCAATATCCTTGTCTCCATTGGTCTCATCCCTAGTGACACCATGATCTGTGACCCACTGAAACAGACACCTATGGCTCAAGGTCAGCCTGATTGCCACTCTAGCCTTGCTGTCCTTATGGTAATTATGTCTCCCGTGTCTCTCATGACTCGGGAGTCCAGCTGGCCTTTGCTAAGACATGGATTCCCACTGATGCTAAGGAGTCAGTTTCCCTGCCATTCTCCACCCTTGAACTCAGCCTTCAGAGGATCACCCCCACCAAACCTCTCACAGAAGCTGGCGCTCCCCCGCCCCCACCAGTGAAGGGAATGTCCTCTGGGCCACCCCAGGAGAAGGTCAGGTGGTGGTCTCACGATGCTACTATGTGCGCGTCTCTGAGCCTTCTGTTCCTTTTCTCAATAGTGTGCCAGGAAACTTCTAGCATCTCATGCAGGCGACTGTCATGGGAACGGGCACCATCTTGGCAAGGCACCTGTGGCAATGGGGTCACTGCTCGGTCTCCGGGCCAAGAGGAGCTGCTCTTTTGTGACGAGGGAGAAAAGGGGTTCTTGTACCAGCCAAGGATTTAGGGAGATTTGGGGGTCCAAGAGTCTCAGGCTTGTGCACCCAAATGTCTATATTCCAGAGTCCTGACTTGGACATAGGACACCTGGGTGGCTGCATGCTCGGTGTTCTTTTCAGCTTGCCACAAAGCATGCCTTAGGTCGGCAAACTTCAGTACCCTCCCTTTTTTGGCAAACTTCAGTACCATCAGAAGAAGCCATCTAAGCTCACAGTCCTCACAATTATAACTTCCCACGGCAATCACGTGCAGCTGGTGCTTGACCTCCCAAAGCCTTGCTTTCTACACGCATCTCATTCCAATTAGCTACAGGTGACGCTGCAGAAATTACCTCACTACATGCCACATAGGACCGTGCTTACCCTCAGTAACGAGGCCCCTATTGCTGCCAGATAGATGGGAAAGCCAGCTGCAATGTCCATCCAGAACATTCGCTCTCTAGAGCGTCTGGCAGTGCCAAACTGTCCCAGGTCCTGTAGGAGGTGGAACTTGAAGCAATGCTTGCTTGCTAACACTTTATTGAGGGCTACGACCTCAGGGCAACAAAAATAAGGGGTGGGGGAGGAAGTGAAGCAAGGAAGGAGGAAAGCAAACACACGGCTGTGTGTCACCAAGCTGGCCCCATCTTCCGAAAAAAACATTGCCAGTCACTCCTTCATGCCCACGGAGTATCCCCTGGAGGGCCAAACAGAACCACTGCCACCCATACATAAGCTGAGTCAGGCCCACACCTCCTTTATTTTTCCCTGGCCAAAATTTGCCCCAAGGTTGAACCCCCTGCCTTTCTGAGTAGAGTTTCCTGGCCCCCGGAGGCAGATCCCCGGTACCGCGGTGTGGGCTGCCGTATGAGCCCAGCGGGGGTGGGAGGGGCCAGAGCCTGCCTGTGTCCTGTCCTTCCGTGTCGGGAGGGGGCTGTGACAGAGCCTTGCCTTCACCCTGGAAAGGCTGTGGTGTTCCGTGCTGGTAGGAGGGCCAGGCCACACTGACGAACAGCTTAGACTGGGCCCGGGCCAGCACTACCAAAGGCCAGAATGGACAACGCAGGCTTTCCAACGTGCAAAACCCGCCCGGGTCCTTCCGAAGTATCGGACCGCTAGTTGGGGGGGGGGGGTCAGTACTTTGGAAGCCCAGCTGAGCAGCTGTGTGATCTGGGGTAACTCACTTCTCTGAACTTGTCCAACGGGGCACTTACATTTACCTCGCAGAACTGTGAGAACTGGATTAAAATGAGGCATAGAGAACATTTTTTAAAGATTTTATTTATTTATTTTTAGAGAGGGAAGGGAGGGAGAAAGAGAGAGAGAGAGAAACATCAATGTGCGGTTGCTGGGGGTCATGGCCTGCAACCCAGGCATGTACCCTGACTGGGAATCGAACCTGCGACACTTTGGTTCGCAGCCCGAGCTCAATCCACTGAGCTACGCCAGCCAGGGCTAGAGAACATTTTTAAGTGGCAAAGAGCTCCATGAATAAACATCACTGACCAAAACATCCTGTCTGGGATGATGGAGCGGAAAGGCGTTAAAATGCCGTGTTACTCGGACCTCAGCGGACCCCCAGGGCTCCGCGTCGTGCCCCATCCTCCGGGTTCACACTGTTGGTGGTGAGACGCAGGCATCTGGGAAGCCTCCACGCACGCCAGTATTTCATTCCCACCTCTCGTCCCGCAACCATGGGCCCCCCTGGGCGCTGACAAGACCTGACTTGTCCACTGTTGTGGACCCAGCATCCCATGCACTGCCTGGCCCTTTGTGGGAGCTCACAAGCACGGTGCACGAAATGAACGAGTGAACGAGTGAACAAATGAATCAGGACCTCCGCATCTCTGTCCAAGGGCCGCCTGACACGGGACAGACACCCCGACCCCCAGCAGGTCACCTCATCCTGGAAACTCTCACCGACACCCCCCCCAGCCCGCACCCCTCTGTCCCCTTACAGCGCAGGTCCCTCTCTCTCGCGCCCCAGCTGACAGTGGGATGGCCGACTCGATGGCCTGTCTCCCGGACCAGACCCCAGGTTCCTGGAGGAAAGGGACACGGCCTCATTCCCGTCTGTCCCCAGCATCTCCCGGTTCACATGCGTCTCCGCAGAGCTCACACGGAGAAGAGCGTTAGGTCAGCACTCCGCACGAGGGCGGCCACGAGGAAGTTGGTCTGAAAGCCCATGTACAGGGCGGACAGTCTGTGCTTAGAGCATGTGTTTATAGGGGTGACTTAGGGGTGCCCATAGAGACCAAGGAAACGGAGGAAAAAATATTCTATCAGTGAATGAACTGCGGTGTCCCATGCCCTGCTCTCTGTCCAGAGCCCCTGGTACCATCGTCCCAATGAAAACTAGGACTGTCCGTGCCTTGGGGACCCTTCTGCAAAGCCACTCCATCAGTCAAAGCGCTTGCCACTCACTTCCACCGGATGAGCACCGCGGCCTCGAATACCTGCGCTGTGGCCTGGGAGCCGGGGGCAACTTGTTTGAAAGAACCGTGCGGGGCTGCTTAGCGAGTACTTGTTGATAGTCTGGCCTCAAACCTCAAACCGAGGAGCTTGAGGTGGTTGCGGGAAAACGGCGGTGGAGGGATCTTCCCCAGGGCCATCAGCAACTCCTACCCAGACGCAGCCCCGTGGTGGGAGAGGGACCTGTGGGAGGGAGAGCGAGCCCTCGGCCCCTGCACCTGAGCCCCCGCACCCGCGGGAGCTTCCGTCCCCTCCGAAAGGGTCCTCAAGGACAGAGCGCCCAAGGGGTCTCGGAGAATCAGTCCTTACCCCCTTCCCGCCGTCTCGGAGAAACTTGGGAGGAGGGCAAGCAAGGAGCAAGTTCCCCCTGGAGACGAGTCCCCTTCCTCGCGGGTGAATGAATAAATGAGCGCCCAGTTCACAACAGCCTCGCTAGATGGAGACCAGGAATCACTGCAGCAGCGCTGGCGGCGGCGGCGGCGGCGGGGAGCGCGGGCGGGAGCGCTGCCCGCGCGGGAGGCGGGCGAGGCTCTGGCGAGGCTCACGTCTGTTTTCCTTTTTCGTGCATTATTTATTTCGCCTCCGCCTGCGGCCCTGCTGCCCGAGCGGACGCTCCCAGCCAGCGCCTCTCGCCGCTGCCTCTCCGGGGCCGGCGTGACGGACGAGGAGAGCTTCTGCACCCCCGCGCCCTGGGCAGCCGCGCGGCGCCACCGCGAAGGGCGGGGACCCGGGGAGGGCACTCGCTGCCAGCTCCAGGCGGCTCGGAAGAGACTTTCCCCGCCCCCGCCTCCGCCTCGGCAGCCTGCCCTGGCCCTGGGCGCGGGGTGCCGCCCCTCCCGCCCCGCGCGCGGCCAGGCGCAGCCTGGAGCCACCGCGCCCTGCACCCAGTGCGAGCGCGCAGCGCCTGGGACCCCAGCTCAGCGGCCCCGGAGGCCCAAGCCGCACGCAAACTTTTGCTCTAGTGCCCGGTGCTCCTCCCAGGCACGTGAAGCCCCCAAGCGCCCGCGCAGTCGCTCGGGTGAGGAACGAGGCCCCGCCTAGAGGGCGGGGGACTGGGGAGGCGGCTGGCTTTAAATGGGGGCCGACTGGCGGCTCGGGGACAGTCTACCGCGGGGGGGAGTGCGACCTCCGTTCGCCGCGCGGAGAATCGGCTGGGGCGGCCCCCAGGCAAGGTGGCGTGAAGCACTGGAGGGGTGCGGGCGGAGATGGAGACCTGGGGGAATCTCACGTTCTGGGGCGGGAGGCCGGGGCTCGGGAGAGCGTGCCAGGGTAAATGGGGTGCGCACGGAGGCGCCTACGTTGCAGTGTGCGCAGTGAGGGCCGGCAGGGCAAGGAGGCAAGGAGGGTGCCCGCAGCGTGTGATTTCGTGGTGTTGTGCATGCAGGGTCAGCGAGTGTGCAGACAGGAGTCGGTGGGTGTGCACGCAGGGTGAGTGATTCCCGCCGGGTTTGAAGTGTGCTCACTGTGGGCGTGAGTTGTGCATGGCTGTTTCTGGGGTGATGCACAGGACGCTCCCTGTGTGCTCGACTGTTTCTGAAGGGGCGCATGGGGCCAAGGTGTGCGTGCAGGATTCTGGGGATGTGCACCTGGGCCAAGGTATCCACGCAGGGGTCTGAGGGCGTGCACCAGGACAGAGTGTGAGTTCTGGGAAGTCGGTTTCTGCACGTGTGCACGACAAGTCATCGAATGTGCAAACTGGAGTGAGGGGGCAGGCTTGATTTACGAGGGTGCCCCAGGGTGCGAGGCGTGCCTGTCCAGCCAGGGCTGCTTGCCCAGTGTTCGGGTGCACCGTACCCACGCAGTGCCCGCCTGACCCAAGCTTTGCTCCCCTGACAGTTCGCCCCGAGAGCGGGTGCCACGGGCCGAGATGCTCCTCCGGGACCTGGTCCTGCGCCGTGGCTGCTGCTGGCCCTCGCTGCTGCTGCACTGCGCGCTCCACCCGCTCTGGGGCTTCGTGCAGGTGAGCGCCGGCGCCAGTTGCGCGGGACTGCATGGGCTTGGAGACCTGGACAGGACCGGGTGGGGGCAGGGTGCCACGTCACTCCCCCGACCCCAGCTTCCTGCAGCCCGCCTCTGACCAGTCCTGGGGAGAATTTAGGTAATGAGCAGATGCTAGGGCCTCCGCAAAGTCTGGCCGGGAAGAGATGAGAGACTCCAGAGGAAGGCTGCAGGTGTGGCCGAAGGCCCGCAGGACAGGGCCTCAGAACTGGAAGGGTTAGGGAATGCCTGGTGGCGCTGGGGGAGTTGGGGATTATTCCCGTGCTTGTGTGAGTTGGGCAGTCCAAAGAAGAAGAGATGGGCGAGACTGCTTGCCAGTCTGCTGTGGCCCCTGAGCTGTCCCAAGTTGTGGGGCCCTGCTGGGAACCAGCTCAGTCAGCCTTGCTTGGGTGGCGGCCGAGTGACCCCTGGGCGAGGACCAGGAGCTCTAAAGCTGTACCCGACATGCGGGTCGAGTGGGCGGGTCGGTCAGCGTCCCCCCAGCCCTCAACCCCGGCACCGGGCCTGTCTGCTGCCCCCTTCCCTGGCTGGCCTCCGCCTCACTCACAGTTGTTTTCCTTTGGGAACTGACAGCTTCCTCTAATGTGTGAAACGGCAGTTATTAAACTCAGCTGTGCCTCCTCAGGAGGCAGGATTCTGTCACTTTTAAACACTCAGGCGGTTGAGGACCAGCTTCCCTTGTTCAACTTGGAGTCGAACCTCAGATACAATGTTCACTTCCTTCTTATTTTCACTTGCTTCCAGTTTTCCATAAGACTTTTCAGCTAGTGTGGAGAGCAATGCCATGATGTTGTCTTTCTGCACGCCTAGAATTCTCCCGGATAGAAACTAGAGACTCACTGCTACCTCCCCCGACAGAAATAATTGTGCAGAAGCAGCTCAGTTTTTTTATCAGTGTCTTTCAGCCAGGCAGCACTTACACAAGTGTGTGTGTGTGTTTCAGATGCTGTTACTCAATACAAATCAATTTGCGTGCAAACCAATTAGAAAAGGAACCACTAGACAAGTAGAATGGATAAAATCTTGGCTGCAGGCTCGGGAAAAATTCATCTACGCATGATAAGGGCCAGGAAGCCAAGGGAAAGGGGCTTGGGGACGGATGGACCTGGTTTCTAAGCAAAAGAGCTGAGTCGAGGGGAACAGAGGGAAGAAGGGGGAAAACAGGAGGGCCTGAGGCTGCGTACTCCCCTGTAAGGGGAGTGCTGAAAACCCATCTCATCATGGGAGTGTCTTGAACATAGGGAAAGAACTCGGAGTTTCCACGGGAGTTATGCCAGAGGCGCCCCCTGAAGTTGTAGGCGTGTGGAAGGGTGAGGCTGATGTGATGGAGTCCTCTAATTAATAGGACGATTGGTGATGTGAGGGACCTGGGGTCCCCAGGGCACCGGGCTCCTACCTTGACATCAGCCCAAAGCCTCTGGAGGCTGCCGAGATGATAAGACACTCAATCACTCAAGTCAGATGACATTCAAATTGCCGCAAGGTTGGTGTGGGGGCCTCCATTCGCCTCCCCCCTTTTCTCTTTAATGTGTCTGGAATTGAGCTTTTGAGCTTTTGTGATGTAGGGTTCTTCTAAGTTCACTTCCAGATGATTCCTTTTTTTTTTTTTTTTCTGCAAGCGGAGAGGATGACAGGCTGGCAAATTTATTAGGTGTGACAGGAGTGTGTCTCATCAAGTCACTGTGGTGCTGGCCTGTCTCCATGAAAGATGCCAGAAGCCATCATCTTTGTGGGCGTCCTCCTAAGGCCACCCGGCGGGGACACAGGCTCGGATCCGAGCCTGTGGGTCTCTGTGTGTGGACGAGGGGCCGCCCCCAGACCCAGGCGATGCTGACCTCCCGCTACTGCCAATCACTACAGCTTCACTCAAGAATTCAGCAGCATTTACTGGGCACCTACTGTTTGCCAGGCCCTGTGTTAAGTGCCAGGGACCTAGTGGTCCCTGCCCTCAGGGCAGCGATGGCCTGGCACTGGAGAGATAATTAGACAAGTACTTGCAGGCAGATAGCTCCACAGGAGATGGGACCCCGTGGAAGAGGCAGAGCGGTCCCACAGGTGTGGTGCTTCGGCTGAGTCAGGAACCAGGAGAAGTCAGGGGCCGGGCAGGCAGGAGTGAAGCGTGCAGGCGGAAAGAACAGCCCCCTGGGCTGGAGGCGAGAGGGCGAGGCCACTGCTGTGAGCCACGAACACCGTATCTGGCACTTTGGACTTCATCCTAGGGGCAACGGGACTGTCAAAGGCTTATGCAAGAGATGACATGACCTCAGATGGGCGTTTGAGACATCTCAGTCCAGCTCCGGCCAGAAAGAATGATGGGGGGCGGGGAGCAAGGAGGCAAGGGTCAAGGGGGCTGGTGACGGTAGGGTTGCCAGATGGAACCAATAAAAATACAGGATGTATAGTTACATTTGAATTTCAGACAAGCCACAGATTGTTCTTTAGCATGATAAATATATCCCATTACAATATTTGGGACATACTTATACTAAAAAAATTATTGTTTATCTGAAATTAACAAGGCATCCTGCATTTCACCTAGCAACCCTCCGGGAGAGGCGAGACTGCCCAGCAGAAAGAGGGTGGGGTCCTAGTTTAGGCGGGGAGTGGGGAGAATGGATGGATGGATACAAGTCCTGTTTATGAGGCAACATCCCCTGGACCCGAGAGCTGAGCTGCGTGGCCAGGAGTGGGAGCTGGCAGCCATGGAGCCCCTCGTGCCCCAGACCACGGTGACGGGTCCCCAATCCAGGGGACTGCGGGGCCAACCTGTGCCTCTGGATTCTGGCCTCAGGAAAGCCCTGCAGAGCAGGGGAGGGAAGGCAGAGGGCGGCGAGGCTGGAGTAAAAACTCGTCCCAGGACGTCACGCCAGCTTTTGCTCTGTGGGCGGTAGGCACGTTGTTGACCTCTCTGGGCCTCTGCTCCTTCTTAGTCAAGTCCAGCTAAGAGTAGGCGACCTCAAGGGCAAGGTGGTTGTCCTTGTGGGACTCCCTAAGATATATACCAACCAAGCCAGGTATGGCCGCAAGCTCCCAGGACTAAGATTTCCTCTTGACTAAATGCCGCCCCACCACCCCACAGGACCCCGAAGTGGACCTGGGCTGGGGGGACGGGCTAGACCCTGTGTCTCTGCACGGGGCGGCAGGTCACCTCCCAACACATCTTTCCCCTGAGCCCCCACGGAACCCGGCCCTGGGCAGCTGCGGCAGAGCACTCCCCCCCACTGAGCCTGCTGTCCCTGCCGCTACATGTGGAGGGTAACAACCACCCCTCCCGGTTATCCCCGCGGTGAGATGACAGCCTGTCTCCCGTGGCCGGCACACAGCAGAGCTCAGGAAGTCACACTCAGTCAGGATTAATGAGGCACAGGCTCATCTACCTGCCAGCTTACGTAGGGGGAGCAAACATCCCAAAACAGTGGGGAAGATGCCCCAAAGACGAGGGCTTACAAGGCGAGGAAGCTGCCCGGGCAGGTGGGTCTCATCCGGGGGGTCACGGGGCTCAGGACGGCTTGCTTGAGAAGGCTGTGCAGGAGCTGGGTTTGAAGGATGAAGGGAAGTTGGCAAGTGGATCAAGGGTTTTCGTAGCCAGCTGTCAGTGGCGACAGGCTCAGCGGCCTCAGGTCTGCGCTGGACCAAACTCCAGGCAGGGGCCCAGGCGGGGCCCGCCCCTCAGGGAGGACAGCCAGCCCTGAGCAGATACTCCCGTGATGACGGTTGGTTAAGCAGTTGTGCCGGCCCCCTTTCCCGTGGGGCCGTGCCGAGACACTACAGCTTTCTGAAGTTCTTCCTCTCCCATCAGCCTTGGGTCACTTTGGGCCCTGGGTTCCCTGCCTATAATTTCACTGCATTAAACTCTCTCATACATCCTGTGCCCGTGTAGCCTCTCACACAAATAGGGCATTGGGTCGGGCCAGGTTAAACAAACGTGCTGCTCTCCAACGCCCTCGCGTACATTGCACAGTGGAGAGTGGGAAAGTAATTGCTTTGGCAGTGGCCTTCATGGCCTGACGTTCACACACTTGGTAGAGTTCAGGGGAGAGGCGATCTCCGAGGCCAGCGGCCGGGCAGCCGGAGCTCCCAAGCAACGCCCCGCAGTCCTAGACGGTCAGAATCCAGAGGGCAGGCTCCGAGCGGGCAGGAGAACTGGCCACTGTACCCGTGGAGAAGCCCGGGGTCCAGTCACTGAGGGGCAAGGAGTTAATCACATCTGTGACATAACAGAAAAGGCTCACCCTCTGAGCATGCGCTCTTCCTAGCGGGACATAGACCGCCTCTCAGAGCTTGAACCACAGTCGATGGTCCTTTGAAAACGCTCAGAGGTGGTACGCAGGAGCTTCTTGGCCTTGCCGGCGCTGCCAGAGCTGGAAACCGGTTCCCCTCCCGCTGCCATCCCCATGGCCCTTACTGGCCTGCTCACATCTGCCAAAGGCAGCGGGGATCCGAGCCCTGTGCGCTCTCTGCTGGGCCTGGACACGGCAGCCAGGGGTCACGCTGCCCTTTAAAGGCGGCCACATGTGGTTGGTTTTGCAGGGAAATCAGGGTTCTAGGTTTCTACTCACTCAAGACGACAGCTAGAGAAATTAAGCGTGGGCATTGTTGGGGTGGGGGTGACCACCAACTTTTCCTTCATGCCTTTAAGTCAGCTTATTCCCCGGGATGGGCTCAAAGCACCAGCCTCGCGGATTTACGGCTCCGCCTCAGGGAGGGACACGGGCGCGGTCCGTGTACAGCTCCGGCTCCGTTGGAAGCTTAGCCTGGGGTGCTTACCATACCCATGCCCGGCTGCACCTGCAGGAACTCTGATGTAACGGTGGCTAAGGCTCAGAGGGGAGTATTTTGGAGGGCAGTCGGGGTTGGGGACCACTGGGCGAGCACAGCCAGCTCCTGCCACTGAAGTAACACTGATTACCAGACCCAAGTTCCAGAGTCATGGTTTCTGGTCCAGCTTTTAATATTTCTTCCTTCGTTCATTCATTCATTCATTCATTCATTCATTTGCCAAATGTTCATGGAATGCCAGACACCCCCTTGAGTGCCAGGTTATGATAGTGTGAGAAATGACCACAGGCCTGGCCCCTGCCCCCGCAGACCTACGGCCCAGTTGTGCAGAGGGGCAGGAACCAGGGAGTCACCCCGAGGCAGACTTCAGCCCTGCAGAGCGGGACCTGGGCCGGAGGAGTCTAGGGAAAGGAGGTCTGACCAGGTCCCGGGGGTCAGGGCCGCTTCCCTGAACAGGTGAGAGCCACGCTGAGAAGGGGCCAGCGGGGAAAGGCAGGGGTGGGGACGCTCTGGCCCACTGCAGCAGCCCATGAAAGGGCGGGAGTGTGGCCGGGGCAGAGACTGGAAGAAGGGCCCTGAGGGCAGAGCCGCGGGTGAGAGTTCAGGGCGAGTTGGGGCTGGAGACGCTATGGGGACGGGGCGGGGGGGTGGTCTCCCGTGCAGGACCCTGTGGGCACGTGATCCCTTGAGGTGTGGGCAGCCTTTCAGGGAGGGGGTTCTCAGGGATGCAGATGGCCCGGTTGGGTGTGTTTCACACGAGACCCCTGGGGCTCCCCGTGGTTGTGCGGATCACCAGAGCAGACGCCTGGCCGAGGACGCCGTTTCCTCCCTGGAGACGGAGGGCCTTGGCTGTTCCAGGAAGGCTGTCAGGAGCTGGGACCGCGGGAAGGGGAAGGCTGGGCCTTGTACTGGAGCAGGACAGACTGGAGAAGTGGCTGGGTCTGCCTGCCGGGGGGGCATACATCGGTGTCCTGCCCCCACCCACGCGGGGGAGCCTGGGGCAGCCACTTCCCCTGGGCTTCAGTGTCCTCGCCGGTCTGCTGGGGAGCCTCCAGGAGCTCATCTTCCAGCTGTTTCTGCCTCTCTGTCATATCGCAGCCACTTGCCACAGTCCCATAGCTGGCCCCCGGCAGAGCTGGGAATAAAACCTGAATCTCCAGACCTGCCAAGCTCGCCTCCTACAACCTTTTCTCTTTGAACCTGACCTCTGTCTATTCTTCCTGCCGTGGTTTGGGAGAAGAAGCCCACGTCCCGGCCTGGCAGGGAGCGCGGGGGGGCGGTGGGGGGGGCGTTTTGGCTCCCGGGTTGCCTCACGGTCTTCTCGTGGTCACGTGGGTCCGTTTCTGCAGGTGACACACGGCGAGCCCCAGAAGTCCTGCTCCAAGGTGACTGACAGCTGTCAACACATCTGCCAGTGCCGGCCCCCTCCCCCGCTGCCGCCGCCGCCCCCGCCCCCGCCGCCTCCCAGACTGCTCTCTGCCCCAGGTGAGTAAAGGCTTGCCTGTTTCCAATTTCCCCTGGTGTCCTGCGGGCCCCGGGAGAACCTGGGGCAGAGCAGAGGGCAGCCTTGCCTCCTCGGTAATTTTCCACTGGCCGAGCAGGAGGGAAGCCAAGGCCCAACTTTCGGCTGCAGTCTGCAAAACGCCTTCCCCGCAGAACGCTCCTGCGGGACGGAGAAGGATGCTTCTGCACCCGCTAATCAGATCACAGCCAGCCTCCCTTGGATGGGCGACAGAGCCCGGACTGCTCTGAAGGCCAGACCTTTAAAGGACAGGCCCTGGGCACCAGGGTTCTATAGCCACCCACGCACACGGTTTCATTTTCCGACTGTGATTCTGGTCTAAGGAGGCTCTGGGAGCCCAGTGGCCTGGATGCCTCTCAGCCGTTGGCAGTGAACTTGGCTCCCTGCCCCCTCGCCTGTTCGCCTTGATTTCATCTATGAACAATCCGACCTCCTGGTCATTCAAACAAAGGAGGGTTTCTTAGCCAGAAACGGCCCGAGTCCTGACCTCCAAGGGTTAAGTGCCCTGCATACAATTGCTACTTGACAAGGTCTCTGAGAAGAGATTCTGCACGTGGGGTTGATCACCCACGGTTCGGCCTGTAGAATGCCCGTGGTGCTGGCTGGGTCTCCCTTGGTTAAGTGCACCGCCGTTGAGTTATTGGGGCGTATTTTAAAGACCCTCGACGACGCTTGCTCTCTGGTCAGCTGTGTGTCCAGACAGCGATGCGGCGTCCTAGGGGATCTTCGCAGTTCACATGCGTTTGCGTTTTGTCTGCTGGGCCCTGACGAGTCTCCGTTCTTACCTGGTGCTTCTCAGAGTGGGGTCCTCAACATCGCCTGAAGCATTTTTTTAAAGGGCAGCCCCAGGGGCCCAGTTCAGACCCACCCACTCAGAGACACTCGGGTGGGGCTTAGGAAGTAGCGGCTCTGCGGCGATTCAAATGCAAGTGACAGTGGAGATACTTGGCCTCCCGGGCCCCCTGCTCTGGGCCTCTGCGGGATCTCCCATCCCAGGGTGCTCACCTCCTCCTCTCTCTGGAAGGAATCCCCGAGCTGTCCTGGGGGGTCACAGCCTCCCCGATTCCTTGAGGGTGTCTCCTCCTCCCAGGGTGTGGGCCCCGGGCCTGTGCTGCCCGCAGCTGCACTGGTGTCTGATGGCCCCGGGTAGAGCCGCTTCAGTTCACCTGGTGCTGACTGAGCTTCTGTGCCCGACACGGAGGTGAGAGGCGGTTCTGGGCTCCCGGGATCTCTCAGCCTCGAAGGGAAGGCCCTCCCGTCAGCAACCTACACGAGGTGGCATGAGACAGCACAGATGTTGCCACCCGGTGCACGGGAGATCCCCGAGTAGCTCGGCCACAGCGCACTGTAACTGTGACCTGGGTCTTGAAGAACCAATGGCATTGTTCCCGGTCGATAAGGAGGTGGTGGGAAGGGGCACCCGGGCGGAAGGACCACCATGGGCAAAGGCGTGAGGGTCTGCCTCCGTGAGACCCTCCCTGGCAGTCACGAGCCCTTCAGCAGGTGGGCCAGGGGCGGACCGGGCAGGGCCTCGGGTGGGCGGGCGGGTGCGCGCGCGGCCAATGAGATCACATTTCCTCTGGTGAGTCACGGCCTGCCAAATGTCATTCATCATATCCAAATGCCTCCTGTTCTTTGCTCCTTTTTCTTTAAATAGACTCACTTTTGTGTGTATGCAAATTAACTTCCAAAGAAAACGTGACACAACCACTGTCAATGAAAAGACAGCGCAAACTCAAAGTGACCGTAAAAATAAATGTAATGGAAACGAAGCCAGCGCTGGCGAGGTGTCAGAGCCGAGGTAGCTCTCTGTGGAGCCTCTTCCCTGCGAAGACGGCAGAAGGTTTGTGAGAGCATCAGAAGGGCCTCATTCCTGGTCCCAGGTTTCACTGTGCTGAGTCCTGGGTCCCTGTGCCGTGGGAAGTCAGCTCACTTAGCTGCAGGGACGTGCACCCCGCCCTTCACAAGTCTGCTGTGGGCTGTGACCAGCCCACGAAGGTGGGAAATGGCATGATTTCTGTATATCTGCTGTAGAGAGATCGACTTTCTTGACAATGCGGGGGTGCAATTGGGGATGAGCTACCAGACTGGAGTCATGCGGGGGCCTCTTGGGATAATTCAGTCCCCAAGCCACCCTCGAGGGCCTGAAACCAGGCTGGGGTTGCAGGGAGGGGCGGCGGGCAGGGAGTGCCCCGTGGCTGGGGACAGCCGCCTCATGCGGAGCTTTGGGCCCGAGGGCCTCCTGGGTGAGAGGGGAGGAGGTGCAGTTTGGTCCCAAGGCAGGACTGTCTAGTCACACGCAGCAGACACAGCCACCGTGAAGTGGCTTAAGTAACACAGAACTAGGGAGGGAGATGCTAGTGTTTTGCCTCGTGTACCAGGATATTCCAGCAGCAGGTCTTCCATGACGACAGTACTGGATTTCTGTCTCGGCCCCGTTCTCTCCTGGTTTCTCCTGGGTTGCCTTTTCTCTCAGGTTGGACCAGTCCCTGGGACTCCAGGCACCAGGATTCCATCACTCTTGCAGTTAGTAATCTTCCTACGAAGAGAGCTTCTCTTTCCCAAAACATCCTCTAACGTCCTGGGGCTGACTTTCATTGGATCATCTTGAGTCACATGTCCATCCTTGGACCAATCATGGTGGCCTATGGGATGAAATATGCTGATTGGCCAGGCCTGGGCCACGTGACCACCCTTGGGGTTGGAGTGTAGAGACAGAGGTTAAGGGAGTGGTGGCCTCCCAAGGTCATGGACATGAACCCTGGGCAGAGGGGTCAGCAGATGCACCCCACAGCCATGAAGTGCCTGGCAGATTAGACCAGTGGCAGAGAATGTTTTGTACATTCTCTAAGTCCTCCTTGAGCTCACCCCGGACCCTGCGCACAAGCGGCACCCAGTAAAATGCCAGAGAGAGCTATGGCCACAGCCACAACTGCTGCCTGCCCTACAATGGAAAGGGACCGGCCTCTCTCCCAGAGGGCACGGGGCTCCAGAGCTGCGGAAGCTCTGCTGTCATTTAGCAGGTGTGCATGGAGCTCGCCAGGTGCTGGGCCAGGGACTCAGCCCTCTCGTGGGCGAGAGGGGCAGGTCCAGCCCTCTTGGAGTTCACGGTCCGGCGGACTGTCGTTTGCAGCAGGAGCGTTTGTAGGAGTGTCCTCTCCTGCCGTCTCTCTGGACACCTGGGCTCCAGGCTCGTGTCATCCTTTGCTCACGTGTTCATCGGATGGGCCTTGAATTTCCGCCCCCCCCCCACCCTGGGGGCCTCTCTTTCACCTGGGGGAACAGTAGCCAAGCACCTGCTCTGTGCCCAGCCCCATGCTGGGGCCACTGGAGGCACCCAGAGGCACCCAGGGACTTGTCCCCAGTGGCAGGGGCCGGGTAATGAAAAGGCTGGGGACGAGCACGAGCTGAGCCTCGGCCGGTGCCAGCTCGGCCACTTCTGTGTGTGTGTGTGTGTGTGTGTGTGTGTGGACCAGACCACACGTGAGGCTCAGCCCCGCCTTCTACAAACCAGGTTTGCGGGTTCCACCCGCCCGGGGGGCTGACTGGAGGATTCCCGTAAGTGAAAAGTGCTTTTGAAATGGCTGCCATTCATCCCGTGGAAATCCTCCTGATGCACGGCGGGCTGGGAGCACCAGACCGGGGAACACAGGTGCTGCTGAGGACGGGCTCATTCCAGAAAAGGTGGGGGGGAGGCATGACAGGATTCCCTGGCAGACCCGGGAGCAGAGAGAGGCCAGGCAGGCCGTGGGGGCCGTGGGGGACGGGGAAGCGCTGACGCAAAGACCCAGAGTTAGGGGCCCAAGGAGCCAACAGGAGACTCCCCGCTGACGCCGTGTTGATTGGCAGGAGCCTGGGCGGAGGGAGACAGAAGGAAGGGAGGAATCTCTGCGTGATTTCCAGCGGACTTATCCAGTCTCCCATGGAAGTACCTGGCAGAAACATTTGCCCAAATGAACTGAGTGTCCTCCACGTGACCAAACAGCACGCTGCTGCTCAGGGGGACCGGCTTGTCCTGGTGTGCCCGGGCCTCCCCTGGCTTTACCCCGCAAAGTCCTGAACCCCAGAAACCCTTTGGTCCTGGGCAAACCTGCGCAGTTGGTCATCCTACTGCTGGACCACCCTTCTGGCAAAGGCAGCGTGGTTTCTTTTTGCTGTGTGTGGTTTTTGGTGTGTTTGTTGTTTTGTTTCACCACGAAACTTTCTGGAGCACTAGCTCCCAGTGCCACCTGGGGCTCATTGCTCTTGGGGACCACTCAGGCCTGCATTCCTCCGAGGGGGTCCAGCCCTGTGCCCTCTCCCAGAAGTCCTTTGAGACAGCCCGGCCCTGAGTCCCGCCTGCCATCGGGAAGGGGCAGGGAGAAGTCTCTGGTGAGGCGGGAGAATCTTGAGCAGCTTCTCTGCTTGCTGCCCTTGCTTCCCACACTCTGCCCCCAATCCCGCCCACTTCAGCCGAGGTGGAGGGTGCACTTCGTGAACTTTTGCCCGCTGTGGGCCGTCGGGGGTCACTAGACCAGTAGTTCTCTGGTGCGAGTGTGGTCAGAACCCCCTGGAAGGCTTGTTGTGAACACAGGTTGCCAGAATTCCTGATTTAGTCGGTCTGGGCGGGGCTGAGGGTTTGCATGTCTGACATATCGTCTGGTGGTGCTGATGCCACTGGGTGCACAGTTTGAGAACCAGCGTCCTAGGGGGTGGCCTCAGGTCGGGGAGCTCCAGCGTCAGTCCCAACCCTTCCAGTCCCAGCCCTGTGACCCTGGGCACGGTGCATCCTTGTCAGAGCCTCAGTCTCCTCATCTGTAAAGTGGGGCTGATGATCCCCACCCGAGACAGGATTTCTGTGAGACTGCAGATTCTGCGGGCTGTTCTTGGCAGACACCACGTGCCCGAGAGGGGGTGCTGCAGTGCGGTGGCTCCCCGCGACCTGGGCTCAAGCCTTGTTCCTTAGCAAAGGGCCTTGGGCAAG